TTAATAGCTATATTTTTTTAAGCTTTTAGATCAACTTGAAAGAAAATAATCTTTCTATACTAAAATAATAAGAATTTAATAGTTAGTAAACCGACCAATTAAATTTAGCTAAAAGAAAAACCGAAAAGGGGAAATTTTCCAAACACACCTTCCCTCCTCCTTCCGAAAAACAAGCACATCATAAACAGGGACCATTGATTTTTCTTTCACAAACATGGAAAAGATGAAAAATACTATATAAATTCCCCAGACGTAAATAAGTGGCTTTCCTACATGGTGATGTAAAATTCTGATAAGAAAAGTGTTTTAACTGTTCATCATCTTAATTTTTCTTTTAGAATTTGTTTAAAATTTTATTTTTAATTATTTTTTAAAAAATTAATCACTAAATTAAAATTTGTATTTATATAAATTATACATATCAATTACTTAACTAATTTGTTGATTTTATAAAATTTAAAATATTTAAATATATGTTAATAAATAATTTTTTATGAAAAAATTATAAATATTAGATAAATATAAAAATTAACATACATAATTTATATAAATAAAAATTTTAATTCAATTGTTAACTTTTTAAAAATATTAATTTAAAGATTAATCTTTAAATAATTCTTCCAAAAAGATTTTTTGAAGGAGAACTTGTGGTACACTAACTCTTATTATAAACTTGATGCTATAGAAGATTGTAATTTTGAATTTATAACATGCCATCAAAAGAGTAAATAGATATAATATTACAAGTAAATTTTTAAATGAAAAATCTATAATATAATGATATATTATAATTATAAATTGATAATATTATATAATATTGTAACTACATAAAATAATTAAATAATAACTTTTATGCTTAAATTTTTTTATATAATTTTATATATTATAAAATGATTAATTTTTTTTTAATCTATGAAACTTATAATGTTATACGCCTCTACTTTTTTGTGTTTTGGTACATATACACGTCTACTTATTTAATAAATATAGAAATTGCAAAGAAAAATCATAAAATGAAGTTTTGCCTGTATCATCATCGGGTACAAGCTGTGTGGTTGCTGTATCTTATGGAGGGCCCGTCTGGTGTAGCAATTTAAGGGGAGTAGTTAGTAATTTTATTCAATTTGTAAAAGTTAGGTATTTAGTAATTTTATTAATTTATTTTAAAATTGTTATAAACTAAATTTTAATTTATTTTAAAATCGCTACAAACTAAATTTTTTGTAAAATTTTTTATCAAGTGATTTGAGATTAATAAATAATGGTTAGAATTTAAATTGTTAACGAATTGAAATTTTTAATTATATTAATAAATTTATCTTTTTTAATTTTTTAATTTTTATTATAGTTTTTAACTGATACTTATTTGATTAATTTCAATTTCATTTTTTTTCTATTTAATAACATTAAGTGACTATTATATTTTTATTTTTTACATTAATTTATTATAAAAATTATATTAACTTAATAAATAAAATTTGCTAATTAGATCAAATGATTAAAAATTTAATTTTTTCTTTGTTTAAAAATAATATAATTTTTTCTTTATTAAAAATAAAAACAAATGTGTGATATATACTTATAATTTATTGTTTATTTATTTTCTTATTATTGTTTTTATAAAATTAATAATTTTAATAATCAAAAATATAAAAAGAAAAATATATACTTAATTACTTTTAAATATGTCATTATTAGTTATTTAACGTTAAATAATAACCACTAATCATTATATAACAAAATAATTATAATAATTGAAATCCATTATTTATTTTTTACTATCTATCACCAACTATTTATTATTTGCTTTTGGCTATCGCTGTTTACTATACACTATTTACTAAAATTTTATCTATTATACCAAACAAGTCATAGTACAACAATAACCGAAGAGATGACAGCAACCAGGATCAATGGTAAGGTTTAAAGCCCTTTTTAAAAATTATAAAAATGTGATTGAGTTAAGTATTTTGTAAATTAAATTATATCATATTATAAAATATTAATTATTAAATGAGAACATGCATTTGTTATAAAAGAAAACTTTTATTATTTAAGAATAATGATTTTTTCTTGGTATTTATTATAAGTGCCTTAAGATAATTTTTGTATATTTTGAAACTAATATTTTTAAAATAATTTTAAGGGTGCACCCTCTACGTGACTATATCAATTTAATGTATTTAAATAAATTAATTTTCTTAAATATTAGAGTCAAAACTTAAATTCTAAACTTAGTTTACAATATAATAATTATTAATTAATCTAATTTTAAAATTTTAAGAATAAATTTTTTACAAGATATTACAGTTAAGTTTTTATGTAAAGTTATATTAAGTGAAACAGTGGTATCATCAACTCTTTTCCAATTGTGTCGATTGATTTAGACATATGTATAGTACGTCAGATTTGTTAGATTAGCCAGAAGGTAGGCTACAGTTATTTCTACTCATAAATGTTAGGGTGAACATAAAAGAGTTTGTGTGTGTTAGTAAAACACCCATACATACATATACATACATACGTAACATACATAAAATCTAACATATTTCTTAGTAGCTACCACCCCAACTAAAATGGAACACTCAATGGTAATTAAGGGTTTTCGGAGTGTGATTTGGTTCAAATTTTAATAATTTTTAAATTAATTTTATTTAATTAGTTAATAACAATTTTAAATCAATTCAATCTATTATTATATTATAACCAAACCAATATGACTTAAATCAAATTAGTGTGATTCAGTCAAATTAATTGATTTTTAATACTACTAAATATATAAGTTACTGTAAAAAAAATTTTAAATTAAGCAAAAAATATAATTATAAAATACATTAAAATTCAAATTAGTAGAAACATAATTAAAGAAAGTACAAATCATAAATAAGTTCTTATATTCTTTTACAATTGTAAAGATTAAAAATATCTAAAAGTTTTTGTTGATTACATCACCAGAAACACAAAAAATAATAAAAGATGACTCCAAGTTTGAAGTATAGTATACATAATTCTTAAAAATTAAAACTAATATTTTTTTCTTAATGTACAAATAACTTAATCTCATCTTCCAAGCCTTATTAAAAGCAAATAAAATTTAAAATGAATATTACTATGATTGATTAAAAGCATTCATCATCAAGATTTAAAACTCATTAACTAAACATTAAGAATAGCATAATATTAAGACTAATTCTATTATAAAATTTTAAAATTTTTAGAATGATACTTTTTTAAGATTTAGTTAAGAGAATCAGAATGTTACTTAAGAATAAATTAGAAATTTAAGGTTCTAAAGATAGAATCATAAACCAGTTTTAAAGGTAAAGTTGTAAATGAATTGCAAATTTAGAATTAAGTGTATAGTGCATGCTTAAAAAGAAAAAATAAATTAGAGAATATAGAGATACTTTATTTTTATTTTTTAATTAAATTAATAAAGTTATTTTCTTGTGACACATGAAAAGGAAATTTAAAATACTATAAAAATATATTATATTATTTAATTATCTTATAATCAAATTTTATCTTATAATTAAACAATTCAGACAATTTAAAAGTAAAATCACAAACTAAATTAATTATATTAATTTTATAATTTTATAATTCAAATTAATTTAATTTTACACCAATTTAATTTGGTTTTTTAATTGAATTAAGTTGGTTTGAGTCAAATTGATCAGATTCGATCAAATATAAACACCCTTAGTAGCAAACAGTTTCTCATCCTAAAATTTGGATAAGGTCATGCTCACACATTAAGTTGTGTTTGCTGCACCAATTTTTAAATATTAATTTTATTTAATCTAATTATTAAAAATATCTAATTATTAAAAATAATTAATAATTATAACTATTAATTAATAAATAAATTATACTAAAACAACTAATATTTATTCTATACTATGATATTTTCTAATATTTAAACTAACTATTTTTTTTAAAATGTTAAAATATTTTATCTGTTAGACCCTACAATATATTCTGCGGCCATATTTAAACCACAACCCCAAAAAGTGCCCAAGTACAGATGAATCTATCGCCCACAGTAAAACTAATACCAACCCTTCAATTCAACCCTGTTTTGTTTTACGCCAAGTGTTCAAACCCCTTCCCAGCCTCTTCAACGTGTCTTGTCATTTCACCTCAAGCGGCACCGCCGCCGTTTCCACCGCTTTATTGACGGCAGCCCCACCTTGGCTACCTCTCCTCTTCGTCACGAAAATCACATTTTAAAACCCATCCGTTCAAATATCGAAATATCAGAGCCAACAAATCTCATGGGACGGGCGGCACATATACGATCTCAAAAAGTCCACAACATCACTCGGAATGTCACTATACCCATCGCCGCGAAATTTCAACTGACCAAAAATTCAGACAACACGGCGGCGCATACCGGAATGACAGATACAGGATTTTAGTTTGCAGGTTCAGGTGTTCTTTTACTCAGTTTGCATGAATCTCAAAACTAATCTTTCTCTCAATCCCAAGAATACACTTTTATATTTGTTAGTCTGATGTCCTCAAGAAAATATGTCCGGACTTGAACTATAAATATGATTAACAAAAACGACACCAGCTAAAATGTAACGGACCAAAATCCCAACTAGATAACCTTCAAAGATCAAATACTCAAATTAGTAAATAGTGATTGACCGATATTCACACTTCCTCCCGATGTGAGTTCAGGATTTCAACTCCCAGAGTGCAAAATCAAAAGGGAGAGAAAGAGGACCTACATTACTCTGGAACAAATTGATGTACCTACCTACCTCGAATGTGAGGGACCCAAATTGGGATCACAATTAACAATTTAATTTCTTTTCTTTTTTAGTTCTTCTTCCTCTACCACCTAATGCATGCATTTTGATTTGTGAACAAAAGGGAACGGTAAAATCGAAATGGGTAATTTTAAAAGGGGAACAATTTACATATATATAGAACAAAGAGATGAACAAGAGAAAAACTCATTTCATTAGCATTTAAACTCCCCCACTCATTTTCCACATTTTTAACTTTACATGTATACAAGAAGAAACAGAGAGGAATTTAAAATTTGCCATCAAACACAGGCAGTAACCTCGATGTTAGGAGGCAAATTAGATGGAATAAATGCCAAAAAAAGGAGGGCCGCGATCATCACAACCGGAATCCACAACAGGAACAACGGCGGCGGTGGTAATGGTGGTAGCACCAGCGGCAGCAGCACGAGAAACAACGTGAAGAGGGCCATCACCAACGTTGTCTTGGCCCCGAAGACAAACGTTATCTGAAAACGGTAGTCTTGCATGCATTAGGTGCAGGTGGAACTGGCGGGTGGCCGGAGAAGGACGGAGGCAGTGCACGGTGTTTGGAGGTGTAGAAGTGGTCCTGAGAGATTCAGAGAGGAGAGGTATTCTAAAATAGACTATTGTGTCTGCTTTTAGATGTAGAGTCGTGAAGAGGGGTATTTATCGTACGAAAGCGAGAAGAGTTGTGCGTTACGTTTGCTGCTACATGCAATGACAAACGTCTCCCTAGGTAGTCGGTAATTATGATTCGTTGTAGTACCGAGGGCATTTTGGGAATTGTGGTCGGTTATTTAGGGTAAAATTTCTTGGATGACCCTCGGCCTTTTAAGTATGGTGTGATTAGATATCAACATTTTGAGTCTTGTAACTGAGTTGGTAAACTAACTTTGCAATTACCACGAACTTAGGGAGATCCTCTTTCCCCTTATATTTTTGTTTTATGTTTAGAATTCCTTTCTCTTACCATGAATAAAGGTGTTACCATGAGACTTTGGAAAGGTAGCAAAGTGGGACGGAGAAGTCCTACACTTTCTCACCTTTTTTTCGCTGACGATCTTGTCTTTACCGGTAAGGCTACTCTTGATAATTGTGCCTTTCTAAAATATGTTCTGGATTTCTTTTGTTATAGGTCTGGCCAAAAAATCAATCAGGATAAATCCAAGATTCTATTTTCGAAGAATGTTAACTAAGATCGTAGGGAGGCTATTTGTAACATCCTCGGGTTCTCACAAACTGAGTCTCTAGGCAAATACCTTGGTATTCCAATCTCAAGCAAGAAAGCTAGAAAACAGGATTATGCCTTCATCATTGACAAAGTCAGGAACAAATTGGATGGTTGGAAAGCTAAGTTTTTCTCTTTGGTGGGTTGGAATATTCTGGTCCAATCTGTCCTAGCTTCCATTTCTAATTATTACATGCAATCTTGTAGGCTACCTATTTCAATCCATGACCAACTTGATAAAATATCACGTGATTTCTTATGGGGTTCTAATGAATCAAATCGCAAGATACATGCTATCAACTGGAATCAAGTTACTGTACCTAAGCATTTAGGAGGTCTTGGTATAAGGAGTTCTAAGGAAGCCAATCTAATGGCCATGGCCAAGTTAAATTGGCAATTATTCACAGATAAAGAGAAATTGTGGTGCAAGGTGATTGTTTCCAAATATGACATTGGTAGTAGACCAAGGACACTTCCTGCACATGGCTCGCCTATTCTAAGATATATCCGGAAAGGGAATCCTCTCTTTTTACAAGGCATTAAATGGATCCCAGCTGATGGTAGTGACATCTTGTTCTAGTTTGACTGCTAGGCTTCTGACTATCCTCTCGTCTCCAAGTTCTATAGACCCCTCCTCTCGAATGACGTGAACCTCACACTTGCAGATGTCTTCCCACAAGGCAAGCTTAATCTTGATATTATATCTCAGCCCTTGGACAAAGACACATTAGAAACTATCAAGGCTACCCCATTTTCTTTCTCTCGTCACAGAGGGGACTCTTTTGCTTGGAAGGGTTCATCTAATGGTCAGTTCTCTTCTATGGTAGCATATAAAATTGCTAAGAATATTTCCCTATCCTGTAAGGGGAATTGGCAATGAATTTGGAAGTTATATGCTCTTCCAAAAATTCAGAACTTCATTTGGCTTCTTTGTCACCAACACTTGAAGACTTTTGAATATTTACATTGTATTAGCATCCTTGATAACTCATTATGTCCATTATGCTCTAATACATATGAGTCTTGTTCTCACCTCATGAGTTCTTGTCCGCAAGTCCTCCCGATTTGGAATTATTTCTTCAGAGATGATTTTCAACTTCCCCAGAATGATACTTCTTTCTTTGAATGGATTCAGAGGAACTATACAAAAAAGAGCTACTCCCTTACTATTCCTGCTCCGTGGGGTTCTCTTTTTTGCTTTGTTCTCTGGACAATCTGGATTCATAGGAACAAAAAAGTTTATTGTGATCAAGATTTTGACCCCAATGTTATCTGTCGGTTTATTAGAGAAAGGATCTTTGAATTGCTATCTGTTCTCCCTAGTCCCAAATTTGGCAGTCATTCTTCAACACAAAAACTTGTTAAATGGGACAACCCGTCGGCAAGCTCCTTTAAACTTAACACTGATGGCTCAGTCATCAATAATCCAAGTTTAGCCACCTCTGGAGGCCTTATTCGTGACCATAGAGGACATTGGATTAGAGGCTTCTCTAGGAAGATTGGTATTGCTTCAAGCCTTGTTGCTAAAATCTGGGGAATTCGGGATGGTCTTCTTTTGGCTAAACAACTTGATATTCAATCCTTAGTTGTTGAAGTGGATTCCTTTATTGCCTTTCAGTTACTCTCCACTGGGACTGATCATCACCCTCTATGTTCTTTCATTTCTGATTGTAGGGCCCTTGTGGTGGATTGCAACATGTTTACAGAGAGGGCAATATGTGTGCTGATCATCTTGCTGCTATGGCTCATTCCCAGCAAGAAGATTTTGTTATTTTAGAGGGTTGCCCCTCAACCCTTTTTATGTATCTCTATGCTGATATGTTAGGAACTGTGTATCCCAGAGACTAGTTTATTTTGTATCTTTGTCTTCTAGTTTAATATTACTCTTCATTCCACCAAAAAATAATTACCACGGACTTATAATTTTTATTAATTAAATCTGTGAAATTCCTTTTTGGTACGTAAAAAGTCAATTGCATGGTAATACAAAGTTCACACCCTTGACCTTGACACTAAATAAAAAATTTTATGTTAGTTGACAACAACTCGATTAAATTATTATTAGTATTAAATTCGTAATGTTACTATTTTATTAAGAAAAAAAAAAGAGTTTCAAAGATTTAATTTCATTAAATCTCTCTCATATATTTTCTAATTTATGACACGCAAGCCAATTATTTGTGCAATTAATATCACCCCAATTGATATACTTGAACTAATTTCTCTAGAAACACCTATCACCACTTGTACAACGTCCCAATTAACATGCATTGTAGAATTACCGGACAAGGGCGAGTCACCATTCATAATGCCCTAGTTGACATGTCTTGGACATTCCTTGCAAGCATATGTCATCAAGCACACAACACTCAATTGATTGACATGCATGAAAAATTCAATGACAATTCCGTATGATCAAGTGTGATACCCTAGTTGATATGCCTTAAACGATTCCTTGACAAACACGAGTCACCATACTCACAACATCGCCATTGACATGCACTGATAAACACGTGTAGTTTTCTCATTAGTTAATTAGAAACAAATAGAAAAACTTAAAAGGAACCTTTATCTAACCAAGTAATAAAAAGGACATTGAGTAATGAGTATCATTATCATATTTCACTTAATTAATTTCCTTTTCTAATTCCACACCAACAATTTAGAAAATTGCATTTTCCCTGTCGCACTACCGACTTAGCCATTGCACTCGGCGCCTTTCATCTGATTCGATTATAATAAGTCAACACTCTAAAATGGCCATTTTCCGATCTTGCATCTCTATTCAAGGCTCCTAAAGACTTCTACTATTTTTACAGTTCTCTATTTGGAAACAATGCTTTTAAAAGATAGGGAAAGAAAAACGTTTATGGCTAAATATCGCTCCATGTTTACTTGGAAAAGGATAGTGTTTTACATAGAGTCCAAATACAGCCAACCTAACAAAAACAATGCACGAGGGAGAGTTGCTTCTACTTAATTTCTCCCCCTTCAAACTCTACCTCTTTTAGGTAGGGAGTCACTTTCATGGAACTTTTGGCATGAATAATTTGCCCATTTCAATTTTAACAGAGTCGGTGGAGCAGATGGTTGATTCATGTTCAAGCCGTAACATTATTTAACAAATAAATATGAGCTCAATTAATCTAATTAAGAAGCCCATACGACCTTGGTAATGCAGGTGGATGATTTTCATCCACACCGACTAGTTAGTTTTTGTTTAAGATAAGATAGGCGTCATTGTGGGTAGGGGGCCATATATTTAGTGCCATCCTTTGATCTCCACTAGTTTTTAGTGTTGCAGGTACAATTATTTAAAGTTTATGGACACTTAAATATGGGTAACTCTTTTTTTTATCTGTCAACATCTCTGTAACATTTATTATATGTAAAAGACTTTTAGTATTTAATTGACTCATTTATATAAGTATAACTCTGTGTACTAGTATTGTAAGTATAGTTAGTTACTTTCTAACCGGCTTAATTTAATTTTTAGTCTATTAACTATCACCTTGATTTCATTTTAGTCTAGAAACTATGTTTTATTTCTAAGTGGTCTATTAACTTTCAAATTCATTTCAATTTCGTCTACTTAGTCAAAGATAATGGAAAACTTCCTATTGTATTAGAGAACAATTAGTCCTCTGACTATATTTTTTTTATCTTTTAATCCTTAAATTTATATTTGTTATAAAAATAGTTTTTTTACTTAAAATTATTATTTATAGGCTCTAATACCAGATTTTTATACTGATTTTCCTATTTATTTAATTTGGTATTAGAGCCTGAAAGTTAATAGACCACTTAGAAATAATAATTTTAAGTATAAAAATCTAGTATCAAAGCCTAAAAATAATAATTTTAAGTATAAAAGTTATTTTTATAACAAATCTAAATTTGAGAACTAAAAGATAAAAAAAATATAATTAGAGGACTAACTGTTCTTTAACAGAATAGGAAGTTTTCCGTTATCTTTGACCAAGTAGACGAAATTGAAATGAATCTGAAAGTTAATAGACCATTTAGAAATAAAATATAGTTTCTAAACTAAAATGAAATCAATGTGATAGTTAATAAACTAAAAATTGAATTAAGCCCTTTCTAACCTATAGTACATCTTTTATAGACTATGTTGATAAAATTCATAACTTTATAAAATTAATAAATTTATAATTTTTATAAAAATAAAATAAAATAAAATAACCCAATGTATTTGTCTTTCTATGTTCACAAACAATGACAATTATACAATAAGAAATAGGATCATGATTGGTGCACACCCGGATCCAACACCCGGGTGTGCACCCCCCACATAAAAAAAAAAAAATGGTATGCACTTGGATCCATTTTTTTTTTTATGGGGGGTGTACACACCCGGGTGTTAGATCCGGGTGTGCACACATCATTTTCCTAAGAAATAATACTTTTATTTTCTACATACATCTTTACTCAATACTCAAAACTTAAAACTTGCAATTTAGATAATTACTAAAAATAAAAATAAAACAAAGGGAATCAAGAAAAGAAATAACCTCTTTTACCAAATAAATTTGAAAATAACCATTATTTCAGTTAAGCCCCTTATCTTTTCACATTTTTATCATTAAGCCCTCTGAATTATTTGATTAATTTTTTTGGCCGTCTGTTGATTAATTCAAAAAAATTAAAAGGGTGTTGGTTATATTTTAAGGGAAAATTGTTCATAAGTTGAATTTTGAAAAAAAATAGTAGAAAAATATCTCAGAATTATATTGTTTTAGTAAATGTTTATTGAAAATTACTAAAATGACATTTTTTTAAGGATTAATGAGACTTTTTGGGCTTTTTTTTGTGTTACTTTATTAAAATGATATAGTCTTAGAATATTTTTTTTCCTAATTTTTTAAAGATCTGACTAATAAACATTAATATTATATTTTAATAAAAATTATTAATTAGGTATTTAATAAAGAAAAAAAATATTTCTTATTGTATAACCATGATCAAATGTGAAAAAAAAAAATCAAAGTATTTAGAACCCACGTGTATATTTTCTAATTTAATTTTAAAATTCATTTTCGGGGTTAAACATGTTTAAGTCACGTTAGTTCTTAGTTTTTGCTTTATTTTCCCTTTTTTCTATTTAGATGGTCATAATGTTTCCAAGGAAACTTGAGCACTCCTTAAAATTATTTCTTCCACGAGAAATCTTAAGACACCCACGTTAATCTAATTTATTGATTATTAACTTTGAAACTCAAATTTAAGACTTAATTTAAAAGGCAACACTGGCTTTTAAAAAAATCCAACCTTGATTACTAGTTTGTTGATAGCTTTGACTAATTGGTTAGCTCAAACGTTTAAATTTGAAAATGAATTGAATAGCATGGGCCAGCTTATTATTCCTACAAACATGGCTTTACTGTTTTCTTTGAAAGGTCATTTGACATATGCCCACAAGTGTGTACTCCTAATTCAATCTATTTGATGTGGAAGGTCTGATATTGGAATGAATCAATTAATTTAGGATGGCCTTCAATTAAAAAATAATAATAATAGAATGAGCTTCATTGAGGCTAATTTTTTTTTTTTTTTAAAGCTTCATTGAAATAAAATCTATAAAGTTTAAAGGGTTGTTTGTTTCAATCTTCAGCTGCTGGATTTAATTAAATAAGTTAGATATTTTGAATTATAGATGATAACATATATCAATTATCATCTATTAACTGTTAGTTATCAACTGTATCTAAAAAGTTAATCCAAACAAACCCTAAGGATGTAATAGTGATTTCAGCTTTTTATGGTCATTTGGGTAGGTTTCTTTTTTGATCGACCAGGTCATTTGGGTAATGGGGTATAGATTGCAAACAAGGCAAAAATGAAAGCCCAAGAGCACAGTTTTCGCTCTTGTTGGGCTGATCCAAAGAAAAAGTTTTAGTAAATAACATTTAAAAATATATTAAAAAAAAAAACCAATTAAAGTTGAGAGAGGAAGTACAATAATATAACATGTAATTATTGTATTTTTTTTTTAGAATGAAAAGATTATTCTACCGATGGAATGCAGTAAAACAATCCAAACTGCTATAGAAAATAAAAATAAAAATAAAAATAAAAACCAACGACAACAAATCCAAACCGATTGGATGGGCAGCACCCCGCCTCTTGAATGGTTGGGTCCAAGAGGTGGCGTATTGTCGGGCTCCACTCTTATATATTTTTTAATTTGACCATGTTATAAAATGAAATTGTTGTTTTACTGTTTATCTTATATAGATTTTCCATACTATAATTATTAAAAAGGGGAGGATTTTAATATATTAATAATTATGAGATGTAAAATTTAGGCAGCACAAATTGCACATTTGTTTTCTTATATAAAATATAAGGCCCTACTTAAATTTTTGAATTCATTTCCCCCGTCTCAACTATGAGACTTTGTCTGGGCATTGTTACCTTAATTAAGTGAACTTTCTCTGTCAATACCCAATCTTTAGCTGGAAACAAGGATGAGGGTGACAAAGTGTAGCATGAAGATTTACAATCGGACAATTTTCTACTCAACCGTGCAAACCAAATTGAGGGGGACGGTAAAGATGATGACCCAAATAATGAGGTGCTTGGAGATGCAACAGAACAGCCCTCTATTGCTTTGCCTCCCCTAGTTGATGAACAATTGATAGATGTGCCCTTGTCCCATGTATTCAGTGGCATCAGGAAGCTAAATGGGCAACGGAAAGTTGCTAATAAAACCAAAGGAAAATGGAAAAGAATAGGACGACGAGTCGACTCTATATTACCCATGGAAAAGACCATTCAAAATAAAAGGAAGATTTGTATTGAATCTATGGAGGGTGAGGGAGCTTCTAAGATGCTTGTTGACAATATAGGGGTAGCTTTAGCACAATTGGCTAAAGACCATCACCCTCCTACAAGTTAATAACTATGGTGTTTAGAGACAGCAACTAACGGGTTGGAAATTGTTGATGTCAAGTTTCTTTTTTCTCCCCATGAAACTAACTAAATAGGTGAAGAAGTCTAGTGGCTTATGATACTTATAATGATTTTTTTTTTTTTTTTACATTTGTAGACCTATTTACACCCATGTATCGATACTATTAATCTCTAATCACAAATAGCTCCATTTGTTTAGTTATTTATATGAATATAGTTTAAATCTATAACTAGTGTTGTAAGTTATACTTTTGATTTTACTTAGGCTATAGTGCCCTGGATGGAGATTTAATTATAATCTCTTTCATTTAATTTAATCTATATTTTCTATCAAAAAAACAAAAATTAAGTGATCTAAGTGAACATCAAAATTACTATTCTTCTTTCTACCATTCTTCTCACAATCACATTGAACCTCTATATATATGCATGAAAATTGTCTATATTTTAATGTTGTCCTTTGATGATCCAATTATCCAAGGAGACCTTCTCATGGTTAGGCAAAGACGGTATTATTCAATCTAGGATGAGTGTAGGATACTTCAAAATGGGTTATTAGGGGTAATTTAGTTTAATCTTATTAATTACTCTTATTTTATTTTTAAAATAATATATATATTTTTTTACTTTTAAGTTGCACGATAAAAAAATAATCTTATCTTTTATCATATTACACATAGAAGCACTACTTACATACTTTACAATTAAAATATAAAATCTTCTATTTTCACCTAATTGATATGTGAGGCCATTTGGTGGAGCTTTTGCTAGCCTTGCTTTTTCTAGTAAAAATTTCAAAATCTTCTATCTCTTATGTTTGAAAAAGTTTTAGAGGAAATGTTCAACTTTTATCAAAATTGTACTAAAATAGCAAGGTTAGGGAAAAGCAATGAATTTTTACTCGGCGAATCATGCATATTACCCCCTAAACATGTCAAGAGGTGGCAAAAAAGCCCCTCAACTGAAATCAGTAGCACTTGACCCCTTAAACTCATGAGCGGTGGCAAATTAGCCCTTGTTTAACTCCCATTTCAATATTCCGTTAAAATTAACGGTTCTCTAATTAGAATGGATTTCACAGAGATATTGAAGTCGGACATGGCCTCTCATGTCATTGAATTATTAATATTTTTGAATTTTTTTAAATATTTCATTAAGATTCAATTACCATAATTTTAGTTTTCATACATTAAAATTTAATTACTTGCAATGAAAATCAATTAGATTAATTAAATTTTAATTGTCACTTTGTCAAGAAAATAAGAATAAAAAACCTTACATACTGTAGGATAGTTTTATAACTAAATAGCAATTTTCTTTTTACTCATGAAAATTATCTCAATTTAGAAAATTTGAAGAATTAATTGTAAATTTAAAATTTAGCAAAAAAAGAAAAATTAAAGAAGTTTGAAGGAAGAGAAATTGAGAACTACAAAATTACATGAACTAATTTTTTTTATATAAATTAATTGTTAAAATTTATATTAATTACACCTAAGTTAGAAAAATTATTATTAAATTTATTTTTCCTTTTTTTTTTTTTTAAACAACTTTCTAATTTATCTTTTAAAGATATAGGTTAAAGATATATTTATTTTTTATTATTAATTTGTATAGAAAAAAGAAAAATTAACTTTAATCTTATCAATTATCTAATTTAATTATTTTACATAAAACTAATGTTGAAAATAAAATTGTTTTTCTTAATTTTTTAAATAAATTAATAATAATATATAATAAATATATTCTTAACATGTATTTTAAAGATAAAAATTCAAAAACCAAATTTAAGATTTTTTATTTAACTTACTTTATTAATTTTATATTTAGAAAAATGTTAAAAAGTTAATAAAAAAAAAAGCTACATCAAGTGCAGCTGGACAGTGGACCCTACAAAAACATGGACCCGGTTAAGTTTGGACGGACTGATGAATTAGCAGTTAGAGAAGGGCTGATTTGCCACCGTTGACAAGTTTAAGGGGTAATTTGCATGATTTGCCTTGTTACTCTTCGTTGCTTTTTTTCAAAACTTATTTAAAAGCAATTTTTTTCTTGAAAACCAAGTATTCCTTCTAAAAATTTTTAAACATAAAAGACAAAAACTTTGAAAATTTTGCTAAAAGATAAGTTTAGCAAAAACTCCACCAAACAGCCCTATTATACCACTAGATCACTTTTAAGTTATTCATAAAATATATAAAGGAAAAATGCATATCATATTTCTAAAAATAATTAAAATTTTAATTTTAAATTATATCGTTTTATTTAATTAAATTTAATTTAAAATTTAAAAAATTTTAAAAATTTTAAATTAATAAATACTAATTCTAATAATATACTGCATTCACCAATTCCGATCACATGTATACAACGGGTCTCTTTAAGTTTTCGTGTTTGATTGCACAAAGAAATCTCCAACCCACCGCAATAAAAGTTTCCAAAAGTGCCAATCTGCGCAGACTAGGGCCCGGTGTCAACGCCACTATGACACAAGCAAGCTTACCTGCGCATTCACCACTTGGGTGTCAGTATCTTTGGTAAATTTGGCCTCCAATTTCTCGGCAAAAGGTACCGGTTTGCCTCTTAACTTTTCAAATTTGAGGGTTTTTACCCTCTATATTACAATGTGTAAATTTTTACCCTTCATATTTTTGAGTTTGAGGAAATGAGGCAAAATTTAACACCGAAGCGTCACGTGTAGCACGTGCACAGTTGGCTTCTGTCAAGTATGCACATATCAGCGCCACCACAGACTTTTTTTGGCAACTTGGCATGCCAACTTGGACCCCATGAGCGGGAAGTCTACTTGCTACCAATTTTATTTGTGGACCCCACCGTTGACTAAAGATTTGAAAAAAAAAAAAGAAGACAAATGAATGCCAGGAAACCGTCCGACTATTCACTTTCCTCTTCCCTTCTTCAACCATTTCTTCAACTTCTGCAAATCTCTAACATCTCAACCAATTTATTCACCTTAATCAATTTCTACATTCTGAGTTTTTCATTATCATCAAACAACAAAACCCACAGAAAACCAACAAAAAAAAAAAATAAAACCCAGTGGGGTTCTTCATCATCATAAAAAAAAAAAAAAAAAAAAAAACCTGCAGAAAACAAAAAGAAAAAAAG